AGCGTTATATTGTTTTAAATCGAAAAAATTTGAAAAATTATTCAAGGAACGTACCTTTGAGCTATTATTGATTTCAGAGAGAGACAATGCGTATTCAGTCACATTGAAATCACCTAAAATTAATGTTTGACCATAACAGTATGTTAGAGATTCAAGGGCTTCAAGTTTTAGAGATTTTTTATATTAAAATTTTTAATTTAATTCTGAAGTCTTCAAATATAAAGAACATTCATAAATAATTTTGTGTATTCAATTTATTTTTTCATTTTTCAATTTAATTATAAATGAGCTTTTCTACAGTCAGAAATGCAAACATCAAAATGAATCTTTTTATAATTTTGTAAAGCGTTAAAAATTTCGAATAAACTTGTCCTTAGCACAAAACTAACACTTGTCAGCATGGAATTCAATTTAGTTGTCAAGAAATGTAGTAACACTGAAGTAAGACAATTTCCTCTATTTATTTAAAGTCTAATTTTCACTCGGAATATTTTAAAGAAAATTAGGGCGTTTGTACACCCAACGGACGAATCCATGCTACTTAAATTCTGCTCCAGTGCAGTTTCAAGGTGGAATGGCTCGTTTTTATTTACAATATAAGTAAATGATTGTAGGATTTTAAGAAGTAACATAATTTTACTTGGCGCAGTCCGTTCTTTTTATTATTTTACATGAAAATTTCTGACAGTTTACATCTTTTATTTCAACTATCTATAGGAGTTTATGAGGGGGAGAGATTTCTAACAGCTGAGGAAGGTTTAAAAGATAAAAATTGTGGTTTGATGACATTCTTCTGAGTCTCAATGTCTCCAAAACAAAATTTATTACATTTTTGCTTACTAATGCTGATAAACCAATTCAAAAGATTTTAAAGCTTCATAATCATAATTGAAATAAAGGGCCTGTTTGCCAGTTTGTAACGATACAAAAAGAATATAAAATATTTAGGGTTAATGATTGATCAACATCCAAGATGGAACCAACTAGCCATTAAAAAAAGTGTATTTGTTGTGAAGTCATCACGCCATCGCTAAATCGGAGTGAGAGGACCGATTATCTTTCTGACAGCGCCTCATCATCATATTTATACTAACTGTATAGTCCAGGAGATTGACGATATTCGGTATTTATTTTCCAAGTCAGCAAACGCGGATAGAGAATTGTAGCAAAATTTATACAGGGTGTTTATTAAGTACTTATACAAACTTTAAATAGTGAATCTTTGACTAATTTTAAGGCAAAAAGTTCTTATGAACACGTAACTTTTGTGCTACAGGTTAATAAAGTTTTCAGAAAAAAATCAATTTTTTCCAATAACTGTGAGACTATTGTAGATATCTTTACGAAATTTGGTATAAACCTCACATATGCCAACAATAACGCTTCATTAGTTGGTAAAGTGGACTTGTTCCAAAACGAATGGTTTTGAAACATATAAAAGGCGGTCCTGTGCTCTCGAACACAGGTGCTCATTTCTTAGCGGCTAACTGTGTACGTGACAAAGGCTATGCATGACAACAAACTACCGCGTGAAAAACAAACAGCTAACTAGTTAAGGTGACGTAATCATATGTCTATCTTTCGCTTTAAAACAATACAAATCCATAGAGCGATTCATACCTTCATGAAGTAAAGGTCGTCTCTCACCAGCATCATGAATATTCATTTATAATATATAAAAAATAAGTTCTCTGAGCAGTCCTAGTGCAGTATTAAATATGTAGGTAGTAGTTAAGTGAAGGAATGTAAATATGTACAAAGTTGAAAGTTTTTTTCATGCAGCGTTTGTGCTGTTTTACAACATGTTGAATTTTCATTGTCCACATGGAGATGGTTGCAGCTAGCACCGACAGTCCATTTTGGTGAGCGTACTTATAATTTGTGGTGAATTCAACTGTTAGAAATCCGTCAGGACTCATCCAGCTGAATTGAAAATTGGCATGTCTTCAGATAATTACACAATGAGTCTTTTATGCCTTTAGCCATCTCATTGATTCTCAAATCTTCAAATACCTCTATACAGCATCTGTGTATGTAAGAAATGCATTGATGCATACTGAGCCCATATCTTCGTCTGCGTGAGTTAAGTTTTCAATATAGGTTAAGAGACACAAAATAGCAGTTTACATTAGTCTGGGAAGTCACCTAAAGTACGAGTCAAGAATATCTAAACGAGTGACAACAATCATATATTTTGAACTTTCTAGTTCTTAAGTGTAATAACTGATGATGGCTTTTGATTTGAAGCTAGTTAACATTTTGAAAAAATTGTTGTTAATAAATATATGCTACATATTTTGAGATAATGATGCCATTTTTGTAATATTATAAATGCATTTTTTAGCAGTGCACAAAACTCAATTACTTAATCCTATTGATTTATGTTGGATAGACAATTAACAAACCTTTCAGAAGAGGTGTCGCATGACCTACATTTCTATTTAGAAAAATCATCTTTTACGCAATCACGCTCACGTATAAATATTATCTCACATAAAGTTTGATAATAAAAATCGACCGGTTTCAGGATTTTCCTCCACATTTCCTGATTCACGAAATAATGAATGCTTTTCTTTCATTTTCACCAGTCTGTGTATGAAAAAAATGAATTTAAGTTTCGAAAGTAAATGATCTGGATGAATTTTCACACGAGTTTGACCTATTTTCTTATCTAACACCGAAAATCGTGTATCCATTATGGAATACATCCGGTTACTAAGAAAATATAATTAATCTCTTATGTGAAGTCAGGTGTCACTTCGTCATTTTATCGTTTTATCATCGAAGAACAAAACCGCCGAGCATTTTGAAACTGCCGCCATAAGGCTCGTTTAAGAAAGACCTTCGTTAAATCGAATTATTAGCAAGTCATTTAGCCTTACAAATTCGTTGGTTTTCCTCACTTTGTGTTCGAAATGTAGCTACGGAGATACTAAAAGCATTTTCCCACACGATTATGATCCTAAAATCATTCAAAGATTGCTTTTGAAGACTCTCCCCGTTTGGTTTTTAAAATATAACATTTTTCCTTTTCTTTAAACAGTATAAGGAAAGTATAGGAATCAGGATTTGTTTCGACGGATCTTTACATTTTGGGGTCTCCTGAATCTGTTTTGACCATTTTCGCGATGATATATATGTGTGTTTGACTGAGTGTATTTGTGTGAGTCTGTATCCACGATAACTCAAAAACGAATAAAGAGAAAACCACCAACTTGTAAATTTAAACTATAATCCATCCTGAAGTGAGATGATTAAATTTTCCATTGTTTTATACATTTTTTGAAACCTTTTTTCAATAATGTCAAATTAATTTTAAAATGTTTAATACATTTTTCAATTCGTATGCCATTTTTATAAAGGATAAATAAATAAATAATAATTGGTAAAAATTTATATATTAAAATATTTGGTAATCGGATTTTGTTCACGTATTCATTGTTTCGTGAGATTTGATCTTCATAGAATTTGTAGATGAAATAGAACACAGCCCAAGTACCAGGGCTATTATAATTTACCGATTGAAAATGAATCCTATTATACATAATAATATGTATTCATATCGACTAAATGAAAAATTATTAAATCAATATCAATGGGAATTTGAGTACAAGCTCCACAATATATAATACGAAACATTATTTATAAAATAACTACTATTGTGAACTTCCTTCATTAAACACCATCTACAAAAATCACTTAGCTTAAAGGAGGCCCTACACACTACGATTTTTGTGAGATTTGAACTGTACAGTCCATCGATTCAGTTCATAACTGAACGTGAAGTGCCCGATGTTACTCACATCTGGCCTCTCCTATTTGTCCTCTTTAGTCCTCTTTTGTCCTCTTTTGTCCTCTTTTGTCCTCTTTTGTCCTCTTTTGTCCTCTTTTGTCCTCTTTTGTCCTCTTTTGTCCTCTTTTGTCCTCTTTTGTCCTCTTTTGTCCTCTTTTGTCCTCTGTTGTCCTCTTTTGTCCTCTTTTGTCCTCTTTTGTCCTCTTTTGTCCTCTTTTGTCCTCTTTTGTCCTCTTTTGTCCTCTTTTGTCCTCTTTTGTCCTCTTTTGTCCTCTTTTGTCCTCTTTTGTCCTCTTTTGTCCTCTTTTGTCCTCTTTTGTCCTCTTTTGTCCTCTTTTGTCCTCTTTTGTCCTCTTTTGTCCTCTTTTGTCCTCTTTTGTCCTCTTTTGTCCTCTTTTGTCCTCTTTTGTCCTCTTTTGTCTAATGTGAAGATGAAGAGTGAAATGAGCTAATTAAATCTTGCCATTACATCAGAACTATGCATTTTAGCCAGCAGGCCATATCGGAGCGTATAGGGCCTCATAAATATTAAATATTTTGTTGTAATTTCATATTTGAACCATATCACTAATCACTGTTAAAGATTTGAACTGTACAGTCCATCGATTTAGTTCAAAACTCAACGTGAAGTGCTCGATCTGACTAAAGGAGGCCCTACACGCTACGATTTTCGTGAGATTTGAACTGTACAGTCCATCGATTCAGCCCATAACTCAACGTGAAGTTCTCGAACTGACATCTGACCTCTTCTCGTTTGTCGTCTTTTGTCTAATGTGAAGATGAAGAGTGAAATGAGCTGATTAAATATTGCCTTTAAATCAGAACTGTGCATTTTGGCCTGCAGGCCATATCGGAGCGTGAAAGGCCTCCATTACCGACAACATAGCAAATACGTTCGTTGGGTGAATGACTTTCTTTAAATGTTCTATATTACGTTAAAAACCGAAATGCAATAACACAAAAAAGATTTAATAGTAACGTTGAAAACTATATTTTAAGAAAAACAATTGTATTATAGGTAAATAAAAAATGAAATAAAACTTTCGATTTGAAATGTTGCTATTCCTGTAATATGTTCTGATATATTGATAGTTTTGTTGGTTTAAAAGTTGTAATTTTTAAACTAAAATAGTTGTTTCTATTACTAGGAGTGAACCAGTGATGAAAAATTGGCTATTAAGAAGCATTCGGAGCCGCAGTGGAAGTCATGCGGTTTAAAACCAAAGACAAATCTAGAGCAGAACTTCGGTTTAGTGATTTCTTCATTTTTTGGATATGGTTTATAGTAACTGTCAAATTTGGTGGAACCTATGGGCAATTTATGAGTAATGAAGGTTAGTAACAGTTATTTTTTTTATTATATATTTTTAATTACAATTCCCTAAAGGATTATTGACTAGTTATACAGAATATTTCATAGTGAATTGTATATGAACTGTATGCGGTTCACTTGGATGATTCAAAATAAATAATTAATAATGGCGCCAGCATATGACGGTGGATGAGGTTTTCCGGGGTGTCCTCACCTGTAAGTCAAATACCTCCATAAATCATTTTTATGTCGCCCTAGAGATCCACAGAAAATAATAATAATAACCGTCCCTTTCCCACACAAGCTCTGTCAGCTTTAGGGGTAGAAATTTACTTGTAATAGGGTGAATTACGGCGAATATTATTATTATTATTATTATTATTATTATTGTTGTTGCGACTTAACCAACTGTAGAGGAGTTTTAAACAATAAATGATTATTAATCTGGAACAACTTTTATTAATTGAAAATTTAAATTTACAAAAACTTGACTTATATTAAACATTAAACATCAAAACAGCAGGTGGAAGATAAATTATTTTGAATATTTTTAACACTTCCTCCCAAAACAATTCCATTAGCATTATTTGAGGCTGCTTATGCCTAGCATATTCCTTATTTTAATAAATTTTCCATGTGCCAGCGGTTTCGTCATTATATCGGCTACTTGTCTATCGCTGCTAACATGTTCAATGCTTATAATATCTTCCTTATATTTTTCACGAATAAAATGAAACCGTATTTCAATATGTTTAGACTTTTTGTGAAATTCTGGATTCTTTATCAATTTCATAGCACTTGCATTATCAACATGTAAAGTTGGAATATCCTTTAAAAACATAATTTCGCTCAATAGTCTATTCATCCAAATAATTCCTCAGTAGCTTCACTGGCAGCTACGTATTCGGCTTCTGTTGTAGATAATACTACACTCTTCTGCTTTTGACTACGCCAGCTTACAGCTGCTCCAGAGTACATAGTTATCACACCAGTTCGTGATCTTCTAATACTGACGTCACCTGCAAAATCAGCATCACTACAAACGTCTAAAATTCCCGAGTTGTGATTAGCTTTATAAAGTAATCCAAATTCGGCTGTCCCTTGTAGATATCTAAAAACTTTTAAGGCTCGCCAATCAGATTCTCGTGGTGCATTTAGTCGTTCTAAAATAATGCTCAACGTATATGCAATATCAGGCCTTGAAGCCATCATCAAAAACATCAAGCTTCCAACTGCTTCTCTATACGGGATCTCACTTCCAAGTAAACTGCTTTCTTCTACATCATAATCGATACAGGGTGTAACAACTGAGTTCGACTAAATTTTTTTAACATTTTCTTTATATAAGAAGTTTGACTCAAAAAAATATCACCATTTTTTAGTTGTTGTATCTGAAGTCCTAGATAGTTGTCAAGAGCACCCACAGTTATTTTAAATTCGGTACTAAGTACCTCCAAAAAAGAATCTATTTCTTCACTCTTTTCTCCAGCGAGCAATCCATCGTCTACATATAGCAATCAACAATTTCCGATTATGTTTAATGCGGATAAATAGACATGGATCTACAGTGCTTACTTTTAGATCTTTTTTTTTTAATTCCACGAACTTTGATTCCAGCATCTCGGGGCTTGCTTCAGTCCGTACAGACTCCTATTTAATCTACACACTCTTCCGGTGTCATCGTCAAACCCCTCAGGTTGTCTTATGAAAACTTCCTCCTCAAGGGAAATGCAGTCTTAACATCGAATTGACGAAGATGTAATTTCTGTGATGTCGAAATACTTAAGACTGATCTGACAGTGTCGAAACGAGCAACACCCCTAAAAATTTCTTCGTAATCAATTTCTGCTTCCTGACTATAGCCCTTAGCTACCAGCCTAGCTACCATCTACTTTTCTTTTAATGCGTAGAACCCATCGATTCAATACGAGCTTGAGTCCTGGTGGCAAGTCAACTAGAGTCCACGTGTTGTTTTCAATTAATGATTGCATTTCATCGTTCATAGCTTGTTTCCAGTTTTTAGCGTCGTCAGAACTTATTGCACCCTCATAGAACTCTAGTGTATCGTCACTTTCTGCCAAAAGTACATAGTCTTTTAAGTAAGACGGTTTTCGATTTTAACGCTTACTTTTTCTCAATGACACTGCATCGCCATTTTCTACTGATTCTTCTTCTGTCGATTCTTGTTCTTCATCTTCAAAACTATTTACATTAATTCTTTCTATATCCGAGTTTGATTCATTATTGACATTGTCTCTAATTAAAAATTCTACGGAACGATTTCTTTGGTGTTCAAGAGATAACTCTTTCGGTTGAGAAGTCTCTTCAGATTGAAAAATCAAATCTCTACTTGTAATTACTTTGTTTTTATCATGAAGCCAGACTCTATAGCCATTTTTCTCTCCACAATAGCCAACAAAATGACCTTTAATACTTTTTCTATCCCATTATTATTGTGTTTTTATCGAAATATGAACATAACAAGGTGAATCAAATACTTTTAAGTGTCAATAGGTACTATTTTACCTCTCAATAGTTCTAGTGGTGATTTTTTGATGACTGATGTAGGACTCGTTCTGTTAAGAACATGTACAGCCATATTAACTGCTTCAGCCCATAACTTAACTGGCAAATCTTTTTAGTAAATCATGGATCTGGCACTCTCCACTAAGGTTCGGTTTTCCCTCTCAGCCAGGCCATTTTGTTCTGGTGTATACGGCATTGGCAAGTGAAAATGTATACCTTTATTTTGGAGAATTGTTTTCACATCAACATTATCGAATTCCTTTCCTCCGTGACTAAGAAATTCGATGATTTTAACATCTGCGGCTGTGACTTCATTAATGAAAGTCTGTAAAGAAGATGCAACTTCGGACTTTGATTTAATAAAAAATACTCGACGAAATTTTGAATAATCGTCTGTAAAACAGACACAGTATTTCGCACCGCCCAGGGAAATTTCTTGCATCTGCCCACATACGTTACCATGAATGATCTTTCCTGGCTTAGTAGGTCTGTTTGCGGGACTTAAATGACCGTCTATGTTGTTTTTCAAAAATACAACCTTCGCAAAACGTATTATTTACATCGTCGACTGCATCTATGCCATGTACTTTCAAGAAATCTTTAACATGTTTAATGTTTTGATGACATAATCTTTCATGCCATAACTGCAAAGTCTCAGGAGATGAAGATATGTATACATTAGCAGGAATTTCGGGTACACATACTTTCATATTTAAAACAAAGTCCTTTTAAATTTCTTTTACCGGTTAACCGTGCAACACCATTTTTCGAGACGACACAGCCGTCTTTATCGGCTTTAAAGTCGAAGCCTTTATTTAATGTCTGTCCTATTGCAAATAAATTGCGCTCAACCTCAGGAACCTCCCATACATTTTCGAGATAATTCATTTCCCACTTATTATAAACTTTCATTTTGACATTGACAACACCCTGTCCATAAGCAAGCATCGTATTGCCATTTCCAACTTACACCTTTTTTGGAGAGCTGTATGGATCATAAATTAAAAAATAATTTTTATTATTGGTCATATGTGCTGAAGCACCAGAATCTGCTAACCATAAGCTCGTATCGTTGTCAGTGTCACATTGTATATCAAAATTTACTTCAAAAGAACAGGCGTCCCCTTCTGGTTCTTTATTACGACTGATGTTTGGTTTTCTTTCAAAGGACTCTTCTTACAATTCTTAGCAAATTGTCCAACTTTATGACATTTAAAACACCTTAGAATTTTCGCAGATTTTTCTTTCGACATTTTAATATTATCCTCAATTTTATTGGGAACAGTCTTCTTATTAACAGACTTCGCACCACCCCTAGAACTTCGTGATGCCGTAACAAGAGCTCAATCTGGCGCCTCCACTTGGTCCAACTTGAAGCTCCCTCATGTTTTTCAATTTGCAATGACAAACTCCATCGCAAATAAATACGTTCATCTTCATACTTTGTCACAAATTAACTTAAAACTCTCTAGTTATGTTTTTTATTTTTGAGGCGTCTGGCCCGATAACCTGTTGCGATTTGACCAACTGTAGAGGAGAGTTTTAAACAATAAATGATTATTAATCTGGAACAACTTTTATAAATTAAAAATTGAAATTTACAAAAAATTGACTTATATCAAACATTCAACATCAAAACATTTTTTTGTTGGCATAACTACGGGCAGCAGGTGGAAGATAAATTATTTTGAATATTTCTAACAATAATTTTAGATATATGGGTTTTAATGGATTTCGTACGAAATTTTATTAGACCACAATTCAACAACCACGTGGTATCTATTTAGGCAGCAACTTGTGAATCATGTCTAAGTTTCTATGTCGGTAAAACTGTAGGACAGTAGGACCTTTCAAAATTCTAAAGTACCCTTCAAAGAGCACCCAGTTGTTTTTGACATTCTGCTTTCTGATTTCAATTTAAGTTCAGGTTTTGAAGTTTTGATTAGATAATTTTAAAAACATAGAAAGTTTAAAAAATATTAACCTTAGCCATCAAGTTCTTTGAACTCTCAAATTCAATTTGTAAGTGATTCCACATTAACAGCATTATTATCAAATTTCATCTAATTTTATCTTTTCTTTACTATATCAATTTTGCTCTAACCCCTTTTATTACAATAGTTATTCCTTTCAATCTTCGTTTTTAAATTTGTCTACGTGATCGGTAATTTCAAAAAGATTTATTCAATTTACTAAAAATTTGGTTTTCGTTCTCTTATTATTATATAAAGCCGCTGTTCTCTCTCTAAATCCATATTTTGGGTAGATCAATTTTACTCCCTTAAATAATACTTTTTGAAGTGTCCCTCCATTTATTTTATCCTTTACTTTTTCTTACCAATTATTCACTCCTGTCCCGTTTAGAACTTTCACTTCCATCAGCCATCCTGATCTGGATCTTCCACGTCTTCATCTTCCTCCTGGATCTCATTGTTCCATTTCCTGCTCTCCAAATGTGTCCCAACCATCTAACTCTGGATTGTTTACTTCTTGTTA